TAATTACCTACACGCTCAAACGTTTATCTGATCAATAGCAGGCTCGGGCAAGCTCTGTGATGTCGAGCGAAGCGTTAATCAAACAGCGTCGACCGGTTGCACTCAGTCAACTGTTATAGAAGTGTACTTTTCCACGTGTGTTTATTTCGTTGCATAAGCCTCGCGGAGTGACGTGATAATATCGTCAAAGGGCTGAGCAGGCGCAGATACATTGTATGCTCGACGGTTTATGAAGACAGCCGAGTTGCACCTTGATAGCGAGTCGATGCTACACGAACCACACGGGATCACATTTCGCCAATCGAGCATGAGAGGAAATATTCTAAAATTACTTATTGTGTACATACAAACGCTGCGTTGGCACTACTAAACTCCCACGACCAGCAATTGTTTGCGTTGCACTCGAAGGTTTCTGCAACAGCTAGGTGTTGAGAAACGGCGGAGGTGTCGACTTTAACTTAGAACCGGCTATTTGTGAAATCTTTCAAGTTTTCATTGCGAAAAGTATGGAAAGTTTAAAATCAGAAATGTATCATAGAATTAATAACATGCAAATAATAGCGCACAGATTTATTACGGAAGTTTATGGTTTTCTTGCGACAATATTTTGAATCGTGAGACGAACGAAGCCTTTATCAAGTCCACGTGAAAAGCTAATCGCGTCACGTGACGACTTTTTTTCTATGGCACAGCCACAGCACACTTGTTCATTATTTTTAACGACATGGCCAGATAATGTTACAGGAAAGCAGCAATGGCATTTCACCTGAATCTTATTTCCTTATTCGTCGCTTTATAATTCAGATCCTTGATAAGAAATGCTGTTCAATTACCAAGCTGTGCGGAATAATTGGGCCCGATACCAATCTGGAGGCATGTTTGATAAAGATAGATGGGCTTCCTCTTATTACTCGTATGACCGATGTGCAAAGTAATAGGTAATAACGTGTTAGGTGAGCAATACAGCGAGTTGCATGCGAGCGTGGCGCGATTGCACGCTCCGCCGCCCCACGTGATTATACGCCTTACTGACCAACTAACAACTAGCGAAATAGGTAACACAACAAATGGCTAGTTGCTATTCGCGTTAAAGACCGAACCGAACTCGGTGGCAAAGTTGCTGGCTCACGCAACAACCAAACCCGAGTGACTTAATCTGCAGTTACTAACAAACAAATAGCAACTAGCTAGCTACATATTAAACGTTTCGTAAGGACTTTCAATTAGTCAGAACCGGAGGGCCACTTGCATGGTCCTTGTGCCAGTACTAGTTAGAAATGGTATACAGTTACAACAAATGAGCTATTTCCCTTACAAGACGACTTTGCAGAGATTATCCTGTGATGGCATTAGCACAATAGCGAGTTTTGAAACTATTCTTGTTTGTTGTTAATTATTTATTTCGCAAACGTTAATTTACCAGAACAGGTTAACAAATTGGTGCTTGATTAGGTAGTCATTCCAGCATATTATTATTATTCTATCTCATACGACGTAAGAATATTAATCAAAACTCAGACTCAGCTCACATACATAAACATACTTGCAACTTAAAAGTGGTCATACCACTAACACACACATAAAGATATTGCGAACTCAGTATGAATAACAACGGACTGTTATCGCCACGGAACCCTAAACATATTATTCTGCAAGTTAGCGTCTGTGTTACGCCCACTGGTTACGTTTCAGTATAAATCCTACATGAACATTTAACCTGATCTGATGCCACCTTGCAATAATTCTTAAGCTACGAAGCCTAAGGGTCCCCACAAACTGGGACTACGCTTCAATTGTGTTAGCACAAAGAGAGATATGGGACAAAGAGCTCTTTATCTGATGTGCTGGGCACAAAAAATACATTCGACGCAATGGTTAAGCATTATTACAGACAAGCGGCAGGTAGACGGTTGTAGGTGTATTCACAAGTCCAACGGTTAAGTTTTTTTTTTCTCCGAGGATCACTACCAAAACTTTCAAAAAAAGGAACACCTTTGAAAATTCCCACTGCGAATTTTATTGTGCCAACGAATAAAAGCAATGCAAAAGTTGTAAGTTAAAGGCGAAAGATGTGGTGATAAGTGAAAAGAATAACAAAACAAATTATAATAGAGTAAATAATGATAGTTTCGATAAAATGTAATTTTATGCGTTCGTTAAATCGTTCTTCGTTTTTATCTATGTTCAATGACCCAACTCGCTCCGAAGTAAAAAATAAATTATGGCAAAACCTATTAAAATAAAATATTAAAATTTTTACTAATATTGCAAAATTATGTAGAAGTATCTTTTGTTAATGTTGTTGTTTATAATCGTAAACAAAAAAAAATATAAATAATATGTATCAGTCAGTACATAAGAGCACAACCCCAAGCAACAAGTGTATGTTATTTAAGGAAAAGAGTACAAAAACCTGAAGCAGGTAGCGTATGAGACGACGAACCATTTATAACTATGTGATTTAGCCAATAGAACCGGTTTTACATCGTCACCGTAAAGATAGGCCGAGGGTCGGGTACACCACGCGATTGTGATCTCTACTTGGACAGCTTTAGATCCGTTTCAAAGAGCTCTTATTTCGAGTTTTGGTAAGAACAACCACGTATGTATGGCGAGACACCCCTGCCGAGATTCGAAAGGACCATAATAAATAGAATGTCTGGAGAATACACGTTTTGTAAATTAAAAACATAGCCCTCCTTCTGGCGCAGTCGGGTAAAAAAGGATTGTTATTTAATTATGTTTGGTACCTATACCTGACAAACATACAAATTGCATGTAGGTACCTATTTATATTCTTGTATGCTGATTTTATTTAACAAGTGAACATTTTAAACTACAAGTCACATAAAAGTACCTACCTGCCTGAGTGAAAATAATATTCACGTTTCCAAGGTCAAACTTTATAAGTTTCATTCAATTCTATGAAACTTATTACACATGTCTCCAATGAAAATTAACGCATTTGTAAATAATATAAATTACTTATTATAAGGAAACTGTGCAGTGCACATATTAAAGTTTCCCTTGTTGTTGATGCATTGAGTAATAAGTTGAGATGCATCATTAAATTGAATCTCGAGTGATTTTTAATTACACAAAATCGTGATGGCAGTTAGTAGATACAAGATAGGGAGGTAACTAACTAATAGAGATTAACTTTGTCAGTCAGGTTAGCTAGTCCCATCACACGGTTACACGCAACCAGTACTGCAACAGGTTTGAAACTTATTTTCCGTATGGTGCAATTACCAGGAACATTGACTTGCGAAGTATAATATCTATGTACGTGTATGTATTATGTATAAATAATGTACAAAGCTGTTTCTGCCGTTTACTGAGCACATCTATCTTTTCCAATATGTTAAACAAGACAGAAAATGTCCATTCCATTATCTAGCCAAGCCAGACAGTGCTATGCTATCTTAAGCACTATGTTAATACCATTATTATTTGATATTAATTTAATAAATTCGTCTTACAGATCACAAATAACTCACAGCCTGTGAATTCATTTTAAAGTTAAAAATCGATTTAAATAATATTTTTATAGGGTAGATTGATATTCTATTATTGCTACTTTGTTCTTTGCTTTGACGAGAGATCTCCTGGTATTGCATTGTTTGAATGTTTGAAAAGCAAATTAGTAGATAAACTGAACTGGACAACTCGTAGTTTGTATTTAACTGCACCACAGTCATAATAAATTCTAAAAAGTTTAGAAATAAATAAAATAAATTCAACATTGATTTAATATTCTACAATGATTGATATTATTACCTCAATAACATTGAACTTGACAGTGGTGTATAGTTTGTCGATGTCATAACAACCGTCGTTATGTAACAAAGAAAAATAAATAAACGTGTAGTAAGTATGTATAGTAGGTAGGTAGGTATTATACATTACTAAATGATGTAAATTTATATTAAGAAAAATGCAGACGCGTGTTATAGATAGATTCTGCGATGTTTCAATATTATTCAACATAAACACGATGTTTTATAATAATATTAGGTAAGCGTGTATTTCAATGTACAAACAAAAAAATACGAAATAAAATACCTACTTAATAAACACACAAATAAATCAAATATTAGGAGTTACGTTCGTTATGGATGGGACTGACATTGACCAAGTTTTCGGAGGTAGAAACTTATTAAAATGCAATGATGGAGGTGTCGTCATAATTATATATGTTTTAAAAACATATTATTATGGTTGTTAATTAATAAGATTATAGCTATTTTTATACCTACTATTATTTTACAAAATTTAAAAAATAAGTAAGGCAAGTCAATCTTATTATGAATAGGAGGTAAATATAATACAAATTATGCCATACCAAGCCTACCTACGTGTACCTACCTCCCAACAAAGTAAATAACTACACACCTACCTATCATTCACTAGATTTATTAATATTTTTACATCGTCGTAAGGTAGGTATTTAGTAGGTTATTAAATACATACCTACTGTGGATAGCCTGAATATTATTGTCATACTTTGAGGATTGGTGATAAATTATGACGATAAAGTTTATCATAATAAAAAAAAATTACAATTGCCTACTGTAGGAAGGTCTCATGAATATTTTGGTAGACACCTTAACTTAGTCTGGCTGCAGTAGGTAATTACCTAGGTACCTACTTATATTCAAAGCAGCTGATTAACAAGCTAGGCAGGCTGTTACTTCGTGAAGAAGTAGATACCTAGCAAGGTAGGTACCTTAATCGTGTAACACAACAGAACTGGAAATTATTGTAAATCTAAATTTACTGTCGTTTCGTTACACAAACAGATGTAGTTTTAGGTAGGTAACCTGCTTATTACTTAACTCAAACCCGTTTAGCAATCTGAATCTCTGTAAGTTTACCGAATATTCGAACTCATATTTTTGGCCTAAGGATCAGCTAGACACACAAAACAGTGAGGGTACGAAATTCAATACATTTGGCTGCCGCCTGGCGGAAAATAATAAAAAATTAGACAAACTTACCTTCAAGAACAGATCACCAAAGTCGTACAGCGCAGACTGATGCATTATGGCAGTAGACATCATGCAAAACTAGCTCGAACACTCAATCCAGGTTTCTAAATTCTTGGGTAAAATCTGCGAACGTAATCACTGAAGCACGAATTTGGAAGGTCGACGAACTCACTGTAATTTTTTGATAAGATTTCGAAATGTCCACGATAATTCTGTACTAGAATTTTATGAAAACTTGTTTACATACATAGAGATGTTTTGATAATTTTGCAAGTCGTTGCGTGTTTGTTTTTCGTTAGTTGACCACAGATTGTGTCCGAACTAGTCGGCTGAGGGCTGTATTTTTTACTATGCCCTTTTCTAAGCAGCCAGATAAAATTTTTGAACACAATTTCGCAAATGTTGCGAAAATGTACAAAACAGTCCTTTGTTTCGAAGTCTTCTTCACTTTTTAATTTTTGCGTCTATACGGAAATACACAGTTTTGGTCAAAATTCTGCGCGAACTGCATAAAAGTCAACTTTTCAAATAAATACTTTTTAGTTTTACTCGAAATTATACTCCAAAAGTTTTTAATTCTGGCGGTATAAATCGTTGAATTAAAAAATAAATCGCAGAGTCAATGTCCGCGCAAAACGCACCACACGATCATTCCGTATCACGCTAGCTCGCGCACTGAGCTCCTTGGTGCGGTGCGCGCCTTCGCCCGTGAATCGCGAGCCGGCGCGGCAGCGGGCGGGTGGATTTTGTTTTCAAATCAAACAGCACGATCACGTTTTGGAGCGAGATTCGTTTTCCATTCGGGTGTATTCGGCAGATATCGGCTGTTCTCGGGTGTTTTGTTGTTATCCTGCCCGCCTCGCCCGTACAAAAGTTTGCGATACTCCCTCAAAGTTTTTACCCCATGCACAAAGTTGTTTTAGTACTGAAATTTCCGATATTTAGTAAGGTCAGTCAAAACTTAAAATTAATACAAAAGCCATTGTAATTTGTAATATAATAATGCGTATATTTTTGCTTTTATTCCATTAGGTTTTTCCTGCGCTGCGCTTGCGCAGATTTTGGTTTATTACAAAAATACTATGGAATGAACTCAATTGAATGCGAGTGATAATAATTTCACGATTTAGGTAAATTGTTTTATACTTTCATGGCCACTAACATAATTATTATTACTGACGGGATTGCTACCATGTAGGGTCATTGCGCCGGTTTTCCGTCCATCCAGCTCCTGTTTTCGTCCATTTGATCGAGTTGCCACAAACAATGAATACGTAAATTGGAATACAAGCCTACCTTTCCCTGGAAGTTTGGACTTGTTGCAATCTTTATTATCTAAGCAACAGTTCTGCCTGCATAAAAATGTAAAGTAATGTCTCCAGAAAAAGCTACGCAAGTTGCTGCTGCACACAGGTGAATTGAAAACGACATCAGGTTAGAAAAACAAGTGCCAGCAGGGAACTTTCATGGTATGTTTTATTACTGTTTAAGCTACTTTACGTAATGTTTTTGTCTTTTGTCTAATTATTAGCATAATAAACACTATTTTAAGGGTTTATTAAAGTATTAGTATAGAAATCCTAGATAAATGAAGTGGACTAAAAGTAGGATAACAATTTTGCAAGATTTTTTGTTCACGTCCACGTGGACGGAAACCCTGACACCTAGTTAATATTTGTAATGATCATTTTACTTCAACGGACCTACAAAATACAATGTTTTTTCTTCCAATATGATCTTTATTGCTATTACATTAAACATTTTAGTTTACGTCCACTTTTTAGCAGTGTTATACCCTTATAAGCCGTTAAAGATGTGGACGAAAACTAAAAACAGCTTTAAATGTTGCTGTGTTTTCGTCCACGACTCCATGAATAAGCACTTTGGTGGACGAAAATTAAAATTACCTATTCCTGTAGATTAGTTTTCGTCCATTTGTCCTTCGACCTATTGCGATAATTCCCTAAATTTAGGTAAGTTTATTTAAATCTTTTTGATATCGTTTGAAAGCTAAAAAATTACCTTACAAATCATATACCACAATCTATAGTTACTATATTGTAGAATTGGTTTTAACTTAATAATTCAACTGCGCTCTTTTTTCTACACAGGTGGTCGGAAACTAGCGTACACTAGGACGAAAACCAATTTTTTTGGACGAAAACTAGCGAAATCGCCTCTTTTGCATAAAATATGATTTTATAAAATACCCGTGATATTTACTTATTGTCATATAATATTAACGTAAAGTAGACTATATAAGGACTAAAACGACATAATTATTATACATATAAGTAAGGGTATTTTAAGATATTCATTTCGCATCACAAAGCTGGCAACTCCGATAATTGGACGAAAACTAGCGAGATGACCCTACCTTAATTCACATCTCACCAGCAACCCGCAAGTTTCCTCAGTTACTCCGTGGCCATGGTAGAGCAGCCCGTCAGTAATAATAATTAATTTCACGATAGCAGCATTCCACTGCATTGCAAATTATTTTTTGAAAATTGAAATAACATTTTATTTTTGTACTTATTTTCAGTTGGGTATCACTAGTATATGCAATACTACAATGTGCACACAAAAAGTACCTAATTAATTTAAAGTCAGATCATTTAAAATTAAAATCGGTTTGTTTCACGGAAATCTGACACTTCAGCTCCTAAAGTTTTCTCCGATAAAACTCTTTAGGTATAGGTTTCGGCGAGGAAGTCCTAAAAAATAAGTGGTCGGAGCGGCGAACAAAAAGTTGTAATTTTAGAGCTGGTTCCACCAATCGAGATGACCGCTGCCGCCCGCGCCCGCACCCCGGCAGCGGTCACGGTTACGAGCTGAGCGGGTGACTCAGCAGCAACTCGGGGTGCCCAAACTAACACTCGTATTCACAAACGATGCTTGCTTAAGTAAAGCAGCAAATCGAACGGACAGCGTTGAATAGAGCTCTGTGATTGGTTCCTGTGTGACCCTGTGCGTCCACGCGCATGTTTGTGAATACGGGCGTAAGTCCAAACTCCAAAGCACCAACGTAACGTAACATGCTCTAGCCGACTGGCCTCCTTTCCCGCCTAAATGACCAATGTCATCATTGAACACAACATTGGATTGAGTTCAACCAGTGGTTATGTAAAAGTTCTTTTGAGTTACAAGTTGAGTTGATGACTGCCATCATGACATGTCACATATCACGCAGATAATGTCAGTCGAATATCTTAATTTCCACAAATTGCTCTGATGTGATGTAACTAAGTACACATTTAGTATTTCAACTTGCAATCTATGTTTACATTTTCCTAATCCTGTCAGGAAAATGTGAAGCGTCCCACTGAAAATTTAAAACTGTAGGTATTATAAGTAACCTGAAAATGTTCTTTCAGAAACACAATGATGTTCTCATTCAGAGTTAGATTGATCTCTAATTAAGTAAAATGGAATTTATAGGGCCTAACTTTAAAATGCATTTTTATTTATTTATTTATTTATTTGAACACCAACAAGGTTACATTGAGGCTTCACAAAAGTAACTATAAAAAATGACACTTGTTAAATGCAAACTTAATTATAGGTGAAAACATCATGTGTTGTATTCTTAGGAGCTCTCCCGCTACCGCTTATGGCGATTGCCGCCAGCGTGTACTGGGCCCATCGCGTCCCTCGAACAACTTTTTATTATGGCATTCGTTCGTTGCAAACTCGTTTTACGGTTTAGTGTTATGCGCTATGTTGCACACAGGCTTACGGGAATCGGAATCAGCTTCTGATACCCAAGTCTTACCTAATAACCATCTCAGGAATATAAGCCTTTTAAAAATCACTTTAACGAGGTAAGCGCCTGTAAAAAAGAAATAATATTATACCTTTTTCTGATCATAATCTGGTCGCACTGGGCACATAAACACGATGACGCTTTAAACATTTTTAATCGATTCAAATCCTGTAAGCTCGTCCACAAAATAAAATATATTTATGAGTAAATTATTATGGAGATAGTAATAAGCAGCTTGTCCCCTTATGTTATGTGAGTATTTTTTGTAATGTTCGTTACTATACTAGGTACTTGAGAAAAATACTTAAGTAACCCGCTGACGTTTATTCAGTCAGCATAGGTACACCAAAAGTGTAATATGCCCACATTTAATTCCCTTACACGTCTTCTTTATTTTCAGTAAGTAACCACTGATGACTTTGTTGTTCTGTGCTAGTCTTATTAAGATGGTCACTCAAAATATCAAGACTGCAGTTGATTGGTCTATTGGTCTAAAAAGAAAGTTTTCTTACAGTCATTTCAACTCTACTTCTTTAAGCTCTACATTACGTACGAAAAGTACAAAAAAATGCTACATTAATGCTGATAACATGTCTAAAAATATTATTCTGACCTATTAACCTAACTTCCTGTTCTTAATTAGACATACAGCCCATACTTATCAATTTATATGCATGCTAAATTAATACAATAAAATATTCATTAGAGCATTTGACTTTATTATATGTATTGTAAAACCGACTTACTCGTAAGTTATTAATAAATAATTACTTTTAATGTGTCAATAGTTGTTTTTTAGTTGTACAATAAGCAAATTCTGCAAGTATTCTCGCTATCACGTAGTCATGTGACAGTATTTTTCCTATATTTTTAAAAATCGGCAGAATTAGGTGAGGTTCTAGTGTTCTCTCATGGGAAATATTTTGAAACGCGAGCTGAAATACTAACTCCATGACATGTGGTTAGGGTTCCGTGCCTAAAATAACTTGAAGAAAACCAAGTAGAGTTTTGTAAGTATCGCCACAGAATAATAATTATACTTCGTGTATCGCGTCGCGTGTGAACGTATCAATATACTGTGCTATAGTTTTTTCAGCCAGTGGTAGAGAGCCATATAGAGCTTTATACATAAGTTTCAATTCGATAAAGTCGCATTGGACATTTACTCCATATTTTGTAACCAGACTTTTGAATCATGCTAAAGGTACCTACAGCTTTATCTGGTGATAACATCCTATTTTGAAACTCAAGACCCCAAGCTCGATGTGGCTTTTATTTTATCACACTCCTGTCAAGATAGCAGTTACAGTCGATGTCAGTCAGACTTTTGCTGAACATAGTAGGACTTAAGCAATTTACACTGAAAAATATGTTTAGTAAATTACAAAAAGTGACTTGCCAACTGAGTGTTAACTAACCAAACCAAGTTTAGCTCACTATGAAATGCCTAGTTTGTTTAATTTGCACAACATTTTATTCCTCATCATAACCAAAGTTAATAGTAGTAACCTCCATTTCGCAAGTCACTTTTTTGTGTAAATGGTAACTAAACCATTTCAGTGCAGTAGAGCGAGCGCAAGCTCCTCGATTATTTAGAGACATATCTTCGATACTGCAAACCCCGTCAGTTATTTGTCTATAGTTGGAACCAGTTAAATAATTATGCAAAAATAACATACGGAACCAAATATGCAAGTGTGCTTACGTACGTACCCATGACCGGTTGTCATAATGGGTCAGTGTCAGGTGACGGTCACGTAGTGCTTACTCCTAAACTTATGGCGCTTGGTAATACAATACATTGTGTGCAAACACCGTCAGGAGCCAGTGTTGACCGTGTGATGTGTAATCACTTGCTCAGCAGTATTAACAGGTCGATGTGGACTTACCTAATGATATTTTATGCTTGTACTTTTAGTAGAGTAATTATTTTCAACGCCATAAATTAAATAAGTCACATTGATTCTTCTAATTGAAACTTACTGATGTCTTA